GAAGGTAAGACGGTAGTGGCGCCTAGCGCTTCTACTGAAGGTCGTGGGTCCAATATCCCCGTGGCATTGCTGACGTGCCTACATCATACGAGAGCAGTTCGATTGGTCTCATAAAAATATACAGAGCTCTCTTCATTATGCTATGTAATTTGATTCTTTAGTTTATTATTTTTATCAATGCTGTTATTTTCGGTGGTGACTTTAAAAAATATATGTTCCAAAAAATGTTGTACTTGGTGAGAATTTTGTGATTCTCGGACATTGTAGGATTCATGAAAATATGCGTTTTCGGGATGTTTAATTAAATACTCCAGTTGCAAAAGACAAAACGTATGCCACTATATATGATATTCGGTTCTGCTGTGGTTTATGTATCAGTAACACGCCGTCATTAATTGACAAGATACTTATGGATCTCAGTTCTCACATGGGAATGGCTCAAATGTAACGTGGTATTAAACAATTACAGGTTCAGGTTGAGGCTGTTGCATTTCAAATTATCTACTTTTATAACCTTTTGTGATACCTTTTAAGCGTTTCTTGTATTTATTAATCCACAAAGCCACCGACTGACATTCTAGCTGACCCCATGGGCTGACCTTTCACCTGACCCCACCGATTTTCCTCTCACTGATCTCGCATCTAGCCTAATGACCTCCCACTTGACACCACCACATGACCTCCCACCTGACCCCACCGATGTTCCTTCCATCTGACTCCACCGAATGGCCTTCCATCTAACCCATCATAATCCTTTTCAACTACCACCCTTGTGGCGCAGTTGGCAAGTGCGTTCACGTTTGGTGTGGGAGGTCCTTAGATCAAAGCTGACCTCTGGCAGCGTTTTCCTCGGCCGGCTCCTACCCAGGAGATGGCAGTAACTGGGGAGTGTTCGCTCGGTCGTGGGGATTACCGCTGTGCCAGCCAGCGCCCCCGGCCGCAGGTACACGGGCCTGATCCGCCTTAAAGGTAGTGTGCCACCTTCCAATGATTTCCCATTTTATTTTTCCTAGGATAAGAAGCTTCTGTTTTACCTAATATCGCAAAAAAAATTAAAAATGGGCCTAAAATAGTGTTTTTTTCGCCTAAAAGTTTATCGGTTTTTCGATATGTATAACAACTGTAGTGGGCTGACCTGCAAACAGGCGTCGGCAACAATCGCGAATGCGGCGCACATGTGACAATAAGCAAAGGTCATTATAGAGTTACGACGTACGGGAATGAGTTATCAGCTGTCTAATCGTAGACAACACAATGTCGAATTTAAACTGTAAGCCTGTATTGGTATTGTTTCTTTAATTTGGCTGTCGAACATTAATTTATGGTTTGAAATATTATTTTATGTAAAATAACTGATATGAAACAGCCGTCTCTAAAGTTATGACCCCATCTCACCACATGAAAGTGGCAGAAATGACAATGATCAGCTGACGCATTTTTCTTGGCCGAAGTCAGAGCGCGCGGCCCGACGCACCACCACCGCACCACAAAGTATGAGCAGAAGCCACCTGCGGTAGACCGAGCCCAAAGCCAGGGCCCCGGTAACGTGAGGTAGCCGAGTCGGGGCAGCGTGCGCTGACCCAAGCCGGGGCCGCGGCTTTGGGCGCGGTCTACCGCATCCCCGCGGGCAGCCCGGGGCTATCACATGACACCGGGAGGACGCGCGGCCCCGGCTTGGGTCAGCGCACGCTGCCCCGACTCGGCCACCTCACGTTACCGGGGCCCTGGCTTTGGGCGCGGTCTACCGCACCACCTAACAGGCGTGTTCGAAACCGCAGGAGATGATGATGAACGGGTTTATCGAAACTTGATTGGATGAGCCTATCGGTATTAGCGATTTCAACGTGTGCATTTATTGTTCATAGTGGTGTGAAATGTGGTTGGGGTACGACAGACAACCCGTCGGGGCGAATTTCGCACTGGGGTACTCAAAATTTGAAGAATTTAAGACGTTTCCATGAGTTTTGAAGGTATGGATAAGTTCTAAAAATCCGGTTCTCCTTATCTGGGCCATTAACTCCATACGGTCCAAGAAAGCTGGCACACTACCTTTAAAACAGATCCTTCGGTCCTGTGACATGTCCCGAGCTGGCACGGCCTCGCTTCATGTCCCGGAGCAGCCCTCTGACCTGCCGGACCCGAGAAATCGGGATAGCCCCAGCGTGCGCACCAGCGCGGTGCCACCTGGGGTGCGTGACAGGAAGCGTGCGGTCAAGGCTGTCCCGCGTAGCGGGTGCCGAAAACGATTCGTACCACTGCCGTGTATATAGTGTACTAACCCAGTATGAATGTGTGCTACTAACGACAAAAGCCCGGGTCGGGTAACAAAAATATTTAAAAAATCCTTTTCAACTGACCCTATTGACATACCTTCCCTTCTCGTCCGCCCCCATTGACCATCTCAAACCAACCCAACCGTCTGACCAGTTCCTCTGACCAGTTCCTGTCTCACCTCTATTGACGCTAAAGTTGTGTCTGTCTTGCTTCTCAATGGACCTATTAAAGGGAGATAATGAGCTTTCTTTTTTCTTAAATAAAAATTACTCGACATCTATACTATTTCTACTGTAGTTTCTATAAAATATGAAAATTTCCTAGCACATTTTCGTATGTGAAAAAGGTTTTTATTTTTGCAAAAAAGAAGCAGTACTTGCAGTACTTGTAACACCCACCGAAATGCGTTGTCCTTCTCTATAAAAAAGTCGCAGTATATGGCGCTTTTGTTTCAAACAGCGACGCTTGGGTTTTTGTTTATGTTATCGCCTTGTCGTTGCTTGGTTGTAAGGATTCTAATTTGAATTAGAGTTAATTCGGTTTAGAATTAATTAGATTCTAATTCGGGGATACATAGTGCCTACTCTTCTTTGTTTCTAAGTATTATTTTGCGCCACAAATGAACGGCATGCGCCAGAAACGCAGCCAAATCTTGCGATTGCGACTACGAAATTCATTATTTTGGCCTCAGAGCCTGAAGCGAAAAATACAAGCATATTTATTTCAAAAAGGCTTCAGGTTTGTCGAACGGTGTTATGAGAATTTTGATAACAGTACTGCATAAGTTTTTCAGTGATGCCGCAAAAGTGTTGTATCTATCTTCTTTTATTGTGCAGTCGGCGGGACCGATTCAAAATTGAGTCGTTGCTACTAAAATAGCAGCATATGGCGACAGATGATGAACAGGAAAAATAGTTGCGTAAATTTAGACATAAACCACCCCCAAACCATGAATATCTTTTGAAGGCACTATAGACGACCATTAACTAACTAGATGTGATGAAGATCAAATGTAATGAATACGCTCATTTTACAAAATTACATGCAAGTACCAAAAAGTGATGTAAGTACTTATTCAACGGTCATTTTCAGCGCTCCCCGCTAACGTGACTTCAAGTTGAGATATTTGCGGCAAGGTACCGAATTGAGCAAAATGGTTTTAATTTACATTATAACTTGTTGTGTTTTGTCAGAAAATGGTCCTAACTCAGATTTTGTGGAAAAAGGTCATAATCTCCCTTTAACCCGCGAGTTGCTGGGGGGGGGGCGTTAAACGCCCCCACTTTTTTCGCCGGGCCATAAAAACGGCGCGCCGCAGGCGCGCCAAATTTTGGGTACCTGTAGCGAATTAATTGAAGTTTATTGTGACAAAGTTTCAAAAAATCAGTTGGAAAATATTTCAGATATCGAGGTTTTAGTGACGTCATGATTTCTGAGTTTTCGACCAAAAATGGCATATGTTCAAAAAATCATATAAAATCACAGAATAGATATACAGACATGCCGTAAACGCCATTAGACTGCCAATACCATGAACAATCAAATGACTATCTTCGATATATGATTATCGTTCCGCATTTTCCAAAATCTTGAACTGAATCTTATCAATTCCTCGTGACTACTTCACGACCATGATACATGCATTTCTTAAATGGAACTTTTTGAGCCAAACACGTACACATATGATAACATGAATGTCACCATCGTGTTCTACGCCCGAAATTACCCATAAAACATGTGTCACAGGCTGCGAATATCAGTTTTGATTTTCGGGGATATGTGCCTACCTGGTTGACCTGACCTTGACCCTGACCTATGCTTGACTGACCCCTACATGGAGCTGACACTCTTGTAGGCCTTACATGATGGATTGTGCTCCGTTTTGACAGAGTTTATGACGAGAGGCGCCCATTGCGAAGTCCTGAAGTCCATGCTACTGAAAGCCCGATTTCAGGTGTTTGACCTGACCTTGACCCGACCTGTGACCTCAAATTTCAACTGTAAAGTACTCATCTGAAGCGTCTCGTTGCGTTCTTTCGTTTGCCGCCTCGTGCGTCTCGTTGCGCCTGTTGGTTCTCGAGTTATCGGCTGGGGGCGTTTAACGCCCCCCCCCCCCCAGCAAACGGTGGGTGGCGAAATACCCCAGCAACTGCCGGGTTAACGCCGACCTAACCTACTGTGTTTCAGACACGCAGCGGGATGACGACGGCGGAGAGGCCGGTGGCCAGGAGCGGCGTGACGCAGACGAGGAGCAGACATCGGAAGGTCTGCCTAGCCCTCAGCGAGAGAAATGGCAGCAGCTGGAGCGACAGCACCAGCAGCTGTGGCAGGAGCTGGAGTCGCGGGGCTACGGGGAGAAGAGGAGTCTGAACGAGCAGCATGATGAGGAGTGCCAGCGTCTGGAGCGACATCATGATGAGATGTGGTGGCAAATGAAAACGCGGCACCATGAGGAGCGAAAAGGGCTTCATCAGCTACACGACAGTGCTGTCAGGTGCGTGGAGCTGCAGACTCAGGGACAGTCGCAGCTCCTTGTAGAGAAACGTCAAAGGCAAATTAAGCTGCTGAATCGGAGGAAACGTAGGCAATGTGCAGTGCTGGAGCGAAAGCACCAAAGCGAGTGGGACGACCAGCAGCAGGAGTTCCAGAAGCAGTGGAACAAAATGAAGCAGAGATACCGACGAGAAACACAAGAGCTGGAGGAGAGATACCCGAACATCCGGACAGGGGAGGAGCTGGATCGGCTGATGGAGGAGTGCAGCAGGAGGCGTCAGCGGCTGGGGAAGGAGCTGGAGAAGGAGCTAGAGAACGAGGAGACACTTGCACGAGGTAAGATATCAGATTTAGATTAGTGAACATAGTGTCGTATTAGCATGCGTGATTTATTTATTTATTTATTTATTTGCATTGCATAATCACCAACAGAGCAATCTCCACTTACAGGCGAAGTCATAGGCCTAAAATAGGTAAATCACAAAAAAAAACAGCACAACATATAATATAATACTGAGTACAATAGTACCTACCCTACACGTTTACAAATATACAGTAAAAATGCACACAATAAAATGAGCAAAGTACATCCCACCAAGTACCTCAATAAGAATAAGAAGCATATTAAAAGCCAGTAAATCTATATACATTAACTATAGTAAGTGAGCCCAGGCTAAAAGTAAAACACATTGTACGTAAAGTGTAAACTATGGTAAACTGTGAGTAAAAAAAAACGTCTCATCGGCAAACTACACATTCAAAGACGAGACGTACAACTTTACATGGGCTCTAAACGTACACAAGGTATCACTAAACACATCGACTGGTGTAACATTGGCAAGAAACACATTCATCTCATTCGACACATTTGATGAATACATCAAACACATCAAACACATTTGATGAATACGACCGAGCTCAAAGATGCTATAGCTGCATGCTCTAGCTGTGATTAGCCGCATTAACTACCAAATAAGTCGTGTCAGTCACTTCGAAAAGCTGGGTACAATGTCTTGGCCCTGATTCCGGGCTTAATTTGTGTCCCCCTCATATATGTTTTCTACCAATCACGGACATTCTTATTCCAGACCTCAAGAAGCAGGGGGAGCAGCAGCAGCAGCAGTCCGAACAGCATCAGCAGCAGGAAGAACAGCAACAAAAGCATCAGCATCAACAACAACAGCAGCAGCGGCAGGAGCAAAAGCAACAACAACAACAACAACAACAGCAGCGGCAGCAGCAGGATCAGCACCAGCAGCAACAACAAGAACGGGGACGGCAGCCAAGCCGGCACCTTGAACACTTCCGGAATCTCATAGAGGCGACGCGAAGACACCGCCAGCAGCTCATCCAGCTCCAGGAGCGGCACAACCAGGAGCTGGAGGAGCAGAGAAGGCGTCATCGGCAGGAGAGGAAGGATCTGGAGCGGCGTCTCGGCTGTCGGTGGAACAAGCAGGAGCGGCGCCACGGAAAGTGACCGACGTGAGTTAATTTTGTTGAAAATTTTTCAACGTTTTCTGTATTCAATCAGGATGAAATAATTGAGGGACAAACCAAATGGAAGAAATGAAACACACCATAGCTTTTCATGTTCATTAGCATTTAGCCTTCGACGGACCTCGCCGACTTTCTACAAACGCGCCGGCCGAGGAGTGGGGGAGGGGGATACGAACCTTGCCGTTTCGTTCCTGATGGAGCTAGAGCCTCGCAGAAAAAAGCGAGCGTGTGCGCCGATATGAGACGCATCGACTGGTACCAAATTTTAAGGTCTCAGGTCAACCGTTGACCTCTATGGTCAGGTCTAGTGGCCCAAAGCACGGGCTCGATTTTTATTTTAAAAAAAACTTTGTAACAAAGGTCGCAGTGCCGCCATTGTGGCACCACCGTGTTTGTCTCGCTCAGGCGCGTCGAATGATATGCTTTTGTACGGGCTAGGTCAAGTTCAGATGTTGACCTTCTTGGGTCAATGTCAGGTCAGAGACTCTCGGTTCCGAAGTTGGTCGGAGGAGGTCAACGGTCATATGACATTCACTCGATTCAGCAGGTCTTTCTGAGTCCATTGGTGGCTTTGTCGACTCGCTAGCTTAATTTGATCGGGAGTTATTGACGAAATACTCTTTATGAGCCTGGTGACGTCAAGGTCAACATCGCAAAATTGAAGCATGGAACCTTTCTTTTCATTTTCACACATTCACTTAAAATGGTGAGGTCACGTGACCGACGTGACCTAATGTGACATTTGGGAAAAAATATGAGGTATACTACAAGTTGTGAGACCTTTGGAGAATACTAGGTCCGGTAAGTTTCATCTCCCTGTAAGAGCTGCTCTGGCACTGAAGACGTTGTGAAGTTGTGGATTCTGAGGACTGTACAGAGGTTTACTTGTGACATCATAGGTCACCGATAGGCGGCGGCCGCGGCCATAACGGCCGGAGCGACACCAGCGCCACCATCGGCGGTCGGTCGGAACTATCGCAACGGATCGCACGTTAATTCAAATTATTTAGTAACGATACGTTGTGCGTCAACGAAATCTTAACTGAAAATTTAAGAAAAATGCATTTCATATTGTAGCTTAATTTCATGATACATCTCGCGATGTAAATAGGGATTTTAATGGATAATTTGATTAGTAAATAATTGCATCGCTTCAATTAACTAATAATATCATTGCACACATTTCGCATTCGATAAATGCCCCACCGGAATATGAAAGCCCACAAAGTAAGCTTTCTAAAAATGTATATTAGTCACAATTCAGTGATGGCTTATGCTACTTTTGACGCCATTGTTTTCGTTATCGGTGGATATAACATACACTTTTACTATATTCCAATGCGTACAACTCAGTTAAATTTGAATATTACGTTAAAGGGACCCTCCCACCTTCAAAAAAGTTAATGAATTGGCATAAAAGTGATGTAGCGTGAATCACAAAGAGCGAAAATGAACATCTACCAAATTTTACCGGAAAATATTCACCCGTTTTCGAGATATAAGACTTTTATTTTTGTTTACTTTTTGGGAAATCCGCTGTTTCTATGACGTCACATAAAGGTTTTCTTTACGTCGGCATTTGGAAGCAATAGTTTGGTATCAAAGTGCGACAAATATTGCGCGAATGATGCGTTTATCTTATCAAGGTCAATATATGATGGCCAATAAAGGATTCCAGGACAATTCTTATGGCATTTCTTCGTATCGCAATTCTTCGTCTGCAAATCTTCGTCAGGGCATTTATTCGTACCTATCGCATTACTTTGTCTCGCACCAGGGTATATGAAAATCGGCTCGCATTTCTTCTTCAACGCAAATATATGCAAGAGTAAGCATTGAGGGACAAATAAATGCACCGACGAAGATTTGTAGACGAAGAAATGCGGACGAAAAATTGTGCTACGAAGAAATGTCATGCGAGGATTCGTTCGGGGGTACCATGGCATTTATGTGATTTCAAAGTCAAGGTTCACAGCTGATCTGCTAAATCAAGCCAAGAATCCAAACTATCAAAAAACTATAAATATTTGTTTGTCTGTCACAGAGGTCTCAAGCAATATAAGGTTGACATATGAAGAATCAAAAATCTACTGCCACAACTCACATCTCCTGCCTTAGTTTATCATTGTTGTTTTAACTTGCTTTCAAGATAAACAGAAGCCAGTATCTGATATCACTTCAGATGATTGTTTCAAGATCTGAGTTCAAATGGAAATAAAAGCAAGATCAAGATGAAACAGGGATTATTGCTGTTAAAGTAGTTTGGCCATGATACAACAAGCACATCAACATAAATCATTAGCCAAATCAAATACTGGTTGGTTTGTCAAGATGTTTGTTGTCTGTCGTCTGTCGAGCTGCTATGAACACTGAACGCTCTCACTCTTACTTTAAAGAGAGTAGTTTAAGTTGAATGGTAGTGAGCTGTAATTAGACAAAGCAGCTATTCAGTGCTCACATCAAGCCAGGCTAGGAAATGGCATCAACTGTGGTGGGAGGAAGCAGGTTCGGCAGCCCTATGTTGTTAACTTCTGTTATGTCTTGTGTTTGATCAACTGATGTTTTCTGCTCTGTTTTGTGCAGTGATAGTAGCAGGTAACTGCATGCTTGTCAAATTATGTGAATAAACGAATTCATAACATTGCATTTTTCTCTCCATGCAAGGAACAAGTAAGATGTTGTAGAAAATGTAATAGAGGGCTGCATTGCTGATTTTGCACTTTATCAGAGCTTTATTTAGAATTGCTTTCCTGAAAGCTACACACAGGCCACAGTGCTGAAATTCACAATGTCATAGCTTTTGGCAGAAAAAAGAAAAGACTTACCTAGGTAAAATTGGCTGAAAGTATGGCAGAGCAGGTCTTGATGCGTATGCCCATCCGTGTGCTTGCCGAAGCCGAACTGACTGCAACACATTTAACTCTGACCCACCATGGTGGCTGGCATATCCTGAACTTTCACCACTCTAAACAAGACAACTTTCAGCCCTCAGCATTGTATTAAAACACTGTACAAAACACTCAAAATTTGTTTCAGTGCCATCCACGGACAACATCAGTCGCCATTCACCAGGCCAGTAAAAACAGAATAGATAATAGCTTCAAACCCATGTAGTCAGAGTTACTAGGTCTGCACCTCAAAACAAAATCCAGGTGACATTCACCACGCCAGTAAAAAAACAGGTACTTAGGTAACGTAACAGCTTCAAATCTGGTAACATGTTGGTCGGACTTTACACTACCATATTTACATGGAATAATATGATACCAAACAATAGTGCAACCATTCTGGACAACAAAAGTGTATGATAAAATTAATTTAGAATACTCTGGCAGCATGATTTACGAGCACAGGCAGGTGTTACCTACCAGCCTTCTCAATGCTCGTAAAACCAACATTGTAGTTTTGATTTTACCTTACATGATAACACACTTGGCTGCAATGGCACATTTAATTTAATACTGTGAAAAGACCAGTTATAACCACTTCACAAGCACAATTGCACATCATGCCGACATCCTTTTCCAAAGACAAAGACAGTCAGCAGCGTCTTTCGTCAAAACTGGAAGATAAATCCCCTTTCAACTGTTAACATCAAAAATATTTCTTCATGGTGTGACTGTGATCTCCATATGGAAACCTTGCAGGAAAAGAATTAATGTCAATTGTCAGCTCTTCAAATTTCTTTGGACTTTAACTTGCAGTACCATATCCAGTTTGCTTTGATATTTTGTTTTTTATTCCATGTTGAAGTTGAACACCAAGCTCCAGATATAGCAGGCAGCTTGATCATCTTCGGCCTTGGTATAATATCAGTCCAAGTTCCAGTGGTGGGTATCTTCTAATATTCAAATTAAAATGAAAAGCCGCCGACGACGGATTTCACGTTGATAAAAAAGGGAGCTCAAGGTCAGCAAAACTCGGGTTCAAGGAATGGCGGGCGTTGAAATGACTGCTGACGTCATCAAAAAACCGCTAATGGTTAAGAGATAGGGACTAAGCTGGTCCCACCCTGCAAGTAAAGGGAAGAAATTTCTTGAACACCATAAAGCTGCGGGGGTTGCGACCAGGATAAATGGTGGTTTCTGAGCCTGGCCGCAAACTTGGCTATCTCAACTCAAAACTAATGTTAAGGTGGGATGGTCCCTTTAATGCCCCAGTAGATAATTAAACATCAATTAATTGCCGTTCGTATGATGTTACGAATGCCTCAATGGTGCCTACCCTAAGCTACTTTTTTCTCGTGTCTTGATAAGCAAGCACTAGGCAAAATTGTGGTATCACCATAATTAACTAATAATATTAATGAATAAATGACACCTTCGATAAATGCCCCACCGGAATACGAAAGCCCACAAAGTAAGCTTTCTAAAAATGCATATTAGCCACAAGTCAGTGATGGCTTATGCTACTTTTGACGCGATTGTTTTCGTTATCGGTCGATATAACATACAATTTTACTATATTTCAATGCTTACAACTCAGTCAAATTTGAATATTACGTTAATGCCCCAGTAGATAATCAAACAGCAATTAATTGCTATTCGAATGATGGTACCCATACCCCCATTGCGCCTAGCCTAAGCTGCTTTTACCCCCTGTCTTCATTGCCAATCACTGGGTGCAATAGCGGTCTCAGGCCTTATCCGGGCAAAAATGATTTTTAGGGTGAGGGGACATACGCTAAAGCTATT